ACCTACAAATGTCATCTACCCCCGACCTCTCTCTCACACTCCATGACCGGCTCGGGCCGATAAGGGGTTTTTCGTTCCCACCTGTACCGTGTACATAAGACGGTGGACAGTTGATAACGCGATCGGGCGTTTATATGGTCACGATCGAATATTATTTTGTCTCGAAAATTGATAATTACAACAACTATACACTATAGTATAAACAACTCATGTTATCATTTCTCACGTAATGGCTGCCAATTAAAATTAAATTAGTTACTTAAATTAAATTCAGTCATTCCGCAAAAAGTTCGAGTCCAAATCGATTTTATATCAACTGTGACTTAATAAAATCCACACCCAGTTAGTTATATTCTGTTGACAAATTGTTTTTTATTAAATAATGAAAATTGATAAAATAAACATCAACTACGTCATAAAAGTTTTATACAGCGCAATACAAGTTACAACCAGAATAAAAACTAGCGTTTTTGTAGAGATTTAAAAATACTATTTGAAACGACATACAATATTTTCTATCATAACTGATTTCATAATTCATTACGGAGCAGAATAAGAGCGCGCATCAATATGCCGTTCGTACACACGATGATGCCAATAGAACAAAAAATTATACTTTTTTTTTTTCGTTTCTCACATCTGGTAGAGTGCGTTTGTACTTAAAAAAAAAAAAAAAAAAAAATTGAACTTTGTGTCAACTTAAAGTCAAAAGTGTTACTTGAGCACAAAACTCAATAGTATCATTCTGCATAGATCTACATAAAATTGTTTTAATGATTTGATAACAATTTTTTTAAGATTTTAAGTGTTTTTTGTTAAAATATACGCAATCTGCGAAAACACAGTTTTCCGGCTATTAAAAAAAAACTGTAGTGCCGAATTATTTTTCCGTTTAATATGTTATGGATACATATGAGTTCCAACTACTGGCAAATTTTCAACCCAAAGGTCTTAAAATTACGGCTAAAAACCCCGAAAAACAAAAAAACCTGTACCCCCCCTAGGGGGGTGGGCATTGGGTTAAATTCAAATTTGATATAACTGACGTGCGCGGGCATACTAAATAAATATTTCTTATAAATTTCAACTCGATCCGACTCTTTTTCTCGAAGCTATAGCCAGTAAAAGTTCTAACTTAAAAACTCGTACGGTTTTTTTTTTGTTTTTTCAACTTTCGCCTGTGAAGAGTTAAACTTTTTCAACTTTTACCCCCCCAAAGTACCAACTAGATGAAAATTGCGATTTATAGAGTTGCTATTCGAAGGAATTGGTCCAGTATAAAAGAAGTTACAGTGTATACAGATAAAAAAAAAACATACATCAGAGTAAAACCAATACCTTCTCGCTTTGCATCGAAGCTAAAACATTTTTCTGGATTTTTGTGAAAAAGGCATTAAAAGGGGTCAAATTATATGTTTTTGGGGTCGGTGATTACGAATTTGTTATCAGTTCTCAATTTTAATCAACCAGAAAGAACTTAAGTAAAAAAAAAAAAAAATTGAACTTTGTGTCAACTTAAAGTCAAAAGTGTTACTTGAGCACAAAACTCAATAGTATCATTCTGCATAGATCTACATAAAATTGTTTTAATGATTTGATAACAATTTTTTTAAGATTTTAAGTGTTTTTTGTTAAAATATACGCAATCTGCGAAAACACAGTTTTCCGGCTATTAAAAAAAAACTGTAGTGCCGAATTATTTTTCCGTTTAATATGTTATGGATACATATGAGTTCCAACTACTGGCAAATTTTCAACCCAAAGGTCTTAAAATTACGGCTAAAAACCCCGAAAAACAAAAAAACCTGTACCCCCCCTAGGGGGGTGGGCATTGGGTTAAATTCAAATTTGATATAACTGACGTGCGCGGGCATACTAAATAAATATTTCTTATAAATTTCAACTCGATCCGACTCTTTTTCTCGAAGCTATAGCCAGTAAAAGTTCTAACTTAAAAACTCGTACGGTTTTTTTTTTTTTTTTTCAACTTTCGCCTGTGAAGAGTTAAACTTTTTCAACTTTTACCCCCCCAAAGTACCAACTAGATGAAAATTGCGATTTATAGAGTTGCTATTCGAAGGAATTGGTCCAGTATAAAAGAAGTTACAGTGTATACAGATAAAAAAAAAACATACATCAGAGTAAAACCAATACCTTCTCGCTTTGCATCGAAGCTAAAACATTTTTCTGGATTTTTGTGAAAAAGGCATTAAAAGGGGTCAAATTATATGTTTTTGGGGTCGGTGATTACGAATTTGTTATCAGTTCTCAATTTTAATCAGCCAGAAAGAACTTAAGTAAAAAAAAAAAAAAATTGAACTTTGTGTCAACTTAAAGTCAAAAGTGTTACTTGAGCACAAAACTCAATAGTATCATTCTGCATAGATCTACATAAAATTGTTTTAATGATTTGATAACAATTTTTTTAAGATTTTAAGTGTTTTTTGTTAAAATATACGCAATCTGCGAAAACACAGTTTTCCGGCTATTAAAAAAAAACTGTAGTGCCGAATTATTTTTCCGTTTAATATGTTATGGATACATATGAGTTCCAACTACTGGCAAATTTTCAACCCAAAGGTCTTAAAATTACGGCTAAAAACCCCGAAAAACAAAAAAACCTGTACCCCCCCTAGGGGGGTGGGCATTGGGTTAAATTCAAATTTGATATAACTGACGTGCGCGGGCATACTAAATAAATATTTCTTATAAATTTCAACTCGATCCGACTCTTTTTCTCGAAGCTATAGCCAGTAAAAGTTCTAACTTAAAAACTCGTACGGTTTTTTTTTTGTTTTTTCAACTTTCGCCTGTGAAGAGTTAAACTTTTTCAACTTTTACCCCCCCAAAGTACCAACTAGATGAAAATTGCGATTTATAGAGTTGCTATTCGAAGGAATTGGTCCAGTATAAAAGAAGTTACAGTGTATACAGATAAAAAAAAAACATACATCAGAGTAAAACCAATACCTTCTCGCTTTGCATCGAAGCTAAAACATTTTTCTGGATTTTTGTGAAAAAGGCATTAAAAGGGGTCAAATTATATGTTTTTGGGGTCGGTGATTACGAATTTGTTATCAGTTCTCAATTTTAATCAGCCAGAAAGAACTTAAGTAAAAAAAAAAAAAATTGAACTTTGTGTCAACTTA